GTGCCATCTTTTGTGCGCTGTCACACGGTGAATGAATAGGACAGAATCTTCCTGCAGGCTAAGCTCAACTTCTCTATCCTAATTCTCCCCACTGCCAATCTGATAGTCATGAGCTGTGAGGAGAAAAAAGGGAAATCATTGGAGACCCAAGCTGCTCACGGGTCAACATCAGAAAATTCCTTCATATTTTCTGTCTGCAAATAAACACTCAAACCCATCGACAGCTCCTTTTGGTTTTCGGAGCTCTGGTCTATATCACTCTCAGTTCCCAAAACACTCTCTACCTTCCCTTATCTCTCTCTCCCAGACCCGGCTCTTCGTCCTCCCGTCTGTTCTGCTCCATGTTGGGCACGGGGCCCAAACCCTGCGAGCAGCTTCACCCGCCTCCCCACCTCGCTGCCCTTTGCCATTACTATCGCACCGTATAAGAAGCAGACCTTCTCGGACTGCACTTAGCTCAGAGGCTAACACTAACCAGCCGCAGATGTTTACATTGGGAGAGAAGGGGCAGCAGATGCGGTCTCACTCAATAAAACTTGCATCTCTCCCTTTGTCTCTCTCTTTTTCTGACGTTCTCTCCCTCTTTCTGCAAGTCTGCAAAGAACCCGGGGCAGCTCTTTAGATCTGTGGGTGTGACAATCTTGCTCTCCGGTTTTATTTGTCTCATTCCCAGCACTCTCGCTTTGCTGTGAGTCACCTGGGTTTCCCCTTTTGATATAAAAAAGAAAAAGACAGTTCACTTTAAAAAAATTCCAACTGCCAGATACTGAGCGGTGAAGCTTGAGACTTGATTATTTTAAAAGTGAAGGTTATTTACAGATAGTTTCGGGAAGTGTTTTGTCTGCCAAGCTCCCTTTACTCAGGTGAATGTTAGCACACCTGAGTCCTCCTTATTTGAAAATAAAAAGAGACACAACCCAGGAGAGGAATTCCAGCAGCAAGAACAGACAGGAATATCTCCAGGTAACACACAGCAAACAAAACTCAGGAAGACACATCCTTAACAAATTGATAAATTGAGAGAAATAGCAGGCTGAGAAGTGTTTGGCCTCATTATGAAACATTCATTATGTACAGCAATGTAGGGCAGTGCTGAGATGAAAGGGAGTTTCTTTTTGAAATCCTTGTCTTTTGTGACAGATTCCCCAAGTTGGAAAGTGTCAAAATGTTTCTGCGATGATTTTGTACAGAGGCAGGATGTGTGGTCCGATATGAGCTCATCTACAGAGTGACAACAACACTAAACAGCACGTAAAACTCTGACATTAAACTGCTCTACTGTGATACCTCCATTTTTGTATTCTTAAAAACACTTTGGTCTCAACCTACTGCATTAGATGGTTAGAAAGTCAGCAGTGCATATTGCTAATAGAAGGCAGATTGCAGGGCTCTGCTTCAGTAATGTCCTGGCAGACAGCGAGCGCTTCAGTGGATCAGAGCTTTAGCCTGTAGGCCCTTTTCGGGAGGTCTGAGAAGTGGCAGGTCACTATATCGTCTAAGCCTACTTAAGAAGGAGCATACCACCACCTCCTGCAGTTTCACAGACCAGGGAGAGAGCTGCTTTGAAAACATTCTAGGAAAAAGAATCAAAAAACACACCGCTTAACATCCGACTAAACATGGCATGGCGAATCCAAGACCATAACCCATAACTGCTCCAACGATACTTTCTCTCTGTGCAAGCCAGATAACAACGATTTCAATATGAGCAAAAAAAAATCTCTGTGCAGTTAATTCTTTTATTAAAAAACATGGTGGTATTGGTGTTTGTTCTGCGATAGAGGAGCTTAGGGTAGCATCTTGAATGCTTTTGTTTTAGACTGATCCCTACTTGTTTGTGGTCCGTTGGTTGAGCGTGGTCGAGGCTGTGTGCATTTTCTCAGGCAGAGTAACACAACAGTATCATTAAGTGCCCAGTGGGAAGGAACCCTCCGTGAACCTCAGGGGGTTTTACTCTCCCACAACCAGCTGAGGGGGGTGGTGGGGCAGCCTGTATGCAGGCATGCATATGAAACAAATAAAGGGAGTGAATGCAATATCTGGTCAACCAGGCACACATGGCATTACGGAGGATGTTAGAGATCAGTGCAAATGTCTGCAGCCCTCATCCAAAACTCTCAATAAATGAAACATCAACAAAAGAGAGACCAGCGGCTTTTCCTGCACTTAACAAAAACATCTGATGTGCATTATTCCTGACAGAGCCTCAGACTGAGGATGAACAGCTTGGCTTTTTAATAGAATGAGGTTCCTCGGCTCTGCATGGCTGGTCCATTAACAAAACGCACTGAGGGAGGCAGTCAGTTGAGATTCGCAAAAGGTGACCAGAAACTCTGAATAACGTGTTCTAAACGGATGAATAACAACATCAGAATGTGGAGGCCACACAGTTATACCATGTGTCTGCACTTCCCTCTAGTGGCCAAAGAATTGGCTACTGAGAAGATCAAAACTAAGAATAATGGCAACATGCAAGGCGTTGGAAACAAATAATGTTAATGTTAGAGAAGCACGAAATTATCCCTGTGTTTCATTTTTCCCCGACTGCGCAACAGATGGTTTAAAATAGACCATAATAGCTTACACCACTTTAGAACAAGTGTCTGTAGTTATTTATAGTATAGTAATTCAAATTCCAACTGTTGTTTGGGACTGCTGGCAAAACAAGCTGGAAAGCTTGCACGTTCATTTTTGTTTTTCTTGTGTGCATTTTGTGGAGAAACGTTATGTTATCCCACGAGTTATTATGAAACTATGTGATCCATGAAAATATCTTAAATGCTTCTTTGCTTAGAAATAACAGATTTCCAAATATGAAATAAGAAATATACATGTTTCCAAGATACTAAAGAATATGATTCACTTGTGCTTATAACATAAAAACTTCTCAACTTGAAAGTTATACAGAACTTCAAACTCAAACAAATAAATGTTAAGTCAAACACAGCAGGCTCAAAAAACAAATGTAAAGCGTTGCATTTTATACAGTATATTACTTAAAGACAACACAACAGCAGAAGCGATTGGATGCTGAATATATTTGTTTCACTTACCTTAATAACAAATTTGAGGGGAGCCATTGCAGTGAACACAGCAGCCAGCTTGTTAAACCTGAAACAAGTGTATAAAGCCATACATTACACATAGTAGCCTAAAAACAACACAACATACAATACTGGTAGGCTGGTTTTAGTACATTCCTCAATAGAAAATAATTGTAACTGCATTATCATAGACAGACACTCATGGTATGTTGGTACTCCACAGTTAACCTACCTTACTTCACACTCTACACTGAAAAAACTGTAACGTTGACTTCAGTTAAATGTAAATTATGTCCACAGATTTCACAGAACTGAATTAAGTTAGTTGAAAGCAATATTATTAAGTTTAAATAAAAAAATATGAATATTATTGCTTTCAACTTAACTATTACAGTTCTGTGAAATCTGTTAACATAATACATTTAATTAAAGTCAACGTTTCAGTTGTTTCCGTGTATGATGTAATTCATGTTTTGCAAAGATAACTTGTAGGTTTGTTATAATAGTAACTACAGCATGATAAGGGTTCTCTAAAACACAATACACTGCCATGTTTCTAACACTAACCTAAACAGGTTGCTTATTTTAATTAATTTAAGCTTTTATTTAAAGCTTAAGTGTCCTTATTTGTTGAATAATAAGGACACTGACACATATCATAATGTACATATAAGCACATTAACATAACAATATACATAGTCATTTTGTATTAAATAATGCATCCCATATATCTTGATATTTGAAGTTTGTTAAATAAATAAAAAAGGCAAATTGTTCCTTTTTTTATTTAACAAATTATCTCAGACGTGTGCATACCTTTCCTGTCTTGTTATTTACCATAGTTATCATCAAGTATGCGCATTATGCAGCCATCAGTTCAAACCAGTCAGTTGAGAATAATATTTCCAGCAGCACTGATAGCCAGATTCTGCTTTAGATAGTTCTAGTGTTAATGATAATCTCCCAGTAGACAAAATTGGGGACATACTGTTGAGGATCTTTAAAACAATTCACCAAATATTCAAAAAATCTCTTTCCAGAAAGGAAAAATCCAGAATATTAGCAATTATTAGCTAACACTGCTGGTTTACATTTTTTACCTTCATTTTTCTAATATGATTTATACCTTAGAATACAAAGTTTCGTCCAATTTATCTGAAATAAAGCTAAAGCACTTAAGCCTCAGAATGATTGGAAGTTACAGGGTTAGTTAGTGGAAACGTAACGTAAAGAAGTTAATTCACTCCGTACGGTCGCACAGCTGGAATACAAGAACAATCATTATTTACGTTACTAAGTAACACCTTAATGCTTCCAACCAACGCTAGTATTAACAAAGTGTCAAGTTAATGCAAAGACAAAGATGGAATCAAACACATTTCCTTGGTAATACATTCTGTAAGTTAATCAAAATAAGGAAAAGATCATTTTCATACCGCCACCAATTTTGAATGTTTGTCAAACGATGATGACGTCACACCATCGTTTGTAGTCCAACTACTGCAAAGCCAGTCGGACTTGGAGCTTGACTTTTGGTTAAGAATACACCGTGAAATGTAAGTAAGGTAGCAAGGCAACTATCTTTTCTGTTTTATAAAGTAGGTTAGTGTAAATGTATAAAGTTAAGGTTTATGTTCTGCGGTGTAAACAATTTCCAAACTGACGGGAGAATGCGACTAAGACCCTTTTAAGACCCCACGCTCTGTGCGCTACCATGGTAACAAGTTGCGTATTGAGAGGGCCTGTATGAAACCTTTGATTTTAGATTGTCAAACTTGTATCTGACTAGTATTTTCTTTTACATGTTATAGTCCCTTTATCATGTAATACACATTTGATATTGCTTTATTGTGCTATATAAAGGGTGTATTCCCAAATGTGTCTAGTTTAGGGCAGGCAATAAAACTAGCTTCATTATACCGAAGCAAATGTGATTCTGTGATATTACGTTGTCGACGATGTTCATAATGTTAGCCTGCTCTGATTGAGAATTTGCAGCTAGGTCATGTCTCGACTCTCCAAGAAATCTCCATCTCTGTGTACGGATCTACCTCTGGACAACGCGGATATTTGTAAAAAGCTCGATTTGCTGAGGCAACTCCTGAGATCTTGTTTTGGTCCGACAGGTAGACTAAAACAAGTCCACAACAACATCGGGGGGCACGTAGTAACCACCTCAACCTCCTCAGTTCTCCTTCCAGCCATTTCCTCCTCACAGCCTTTTATCAATCTGATAAAAACCTCCATTCTCAACCACGTTTCTCGTTTCAGTGACTGTGGTTTGTTCGCTGCCATTCTTTGTTTGTCTCTTATTGAGCAGGCAAAGCAGTCTGGTCTCAGAGGAAATGTGGCCATCAGAGTGAACAAGCACTTGCTGGGTCTGTGCACCAGTTACCTGCTAGGAGAAGACTGTGGTTGTAAAGTGAAGCTCGACTTCTGCAGCAGCCAGAGCTTGATCACATTGGCCCGCAGTGTTATCTCCAGCAAACCAGCATGTGTGCTAACAGAGCCAGAGACCCTTCACATCAGCAGGTTGGCTGTACAGGCTTTTTTGCTGACTGTTCCCTGCAGCAGCCCAGGTATAGTCAGTCTTGGCAAAATAGTGACTGTGTCTGTTGAAGGCCATGGTGTGCTCAACTCAGCAGTGTTTCCAGGTGTATTGCTGGACATGCCTGATGTCTTTACTGTAGATAAATTAGAGAACCTGCCTTCAGATGCACTGCGCATGGTATTGTTCAGTGCTTCCCTTGCTGGGGACCTTTCTGAACTGGGAGATGGGATAATAGAGGTGCATCCAGGTGTAGACACTGACTCACAGATACTGGATCAGCTCCTGGAGCTCGGCAAACAGGTGGTTAAAGATGAGGTGAAGCTTTGTGTGTGCCAGAAGGTCATTCACCCGGTTCTGCAGCAATACCTGAGGGGTCATGGTATCATAGTGGTAGAAAGACTGGGAATCACTCTCATGGAGCCCCTTACTCAGCTCACAGGTAGGTGCCATACTTTATTTGAAAGGAATATCATTTTTAGAGCTGAAACTATTTGTAGAAAAACACATTTATAGTCATAATATATCTTCAATAGATGGATGCTTTGATTAACCACTTGAAAAAGTAGATGCATTATTTTGGAATATGTGTTTGAAAATATTTTATCTAAATTTGAAACTTCTTAAATGCTACTTAATGTTATGAGATTCCTGCATTCCGTCGGGTGTGATATTGTGGATGAACATATGTAAAGTGTACTGTCCAGTAGGGCTGCTCAATTAATCGTATTTTAATCGCAATTACGATGTTGGCTTGCAACGATTATGAAAACAACATAATCGAAATAAAACGATTATTTTATTTATTTATTTTTATTTATTTTAAATTATTTTATTTATTGGTTTTTCAGTTGAATTATAAAGTTCAGGGTAATCAACTGTTAAAAATATACTGTTCAATTTTTCTTTTTCAATAAATGGATGTTTTCAAAGTAAATGGATAATCGTTTTTAATAATCATGATACCAATTATTGACCAAATAATCGAAATTAGGATTTTGCCATAATCGAGCAGCCCTACTGTCCAGGCAGGTATATATTCTGCTGTTACTTTGGAGTGTTTGAGGTCCTCTTTACATTTTGTAAACAGGGGCTCAACCCGTGGCCACATTACACACCACCATCCCAGCCAAGGCCTACGGGAGGGTGAGGGATCTAAGGATCAGGACATTTGGATCCAAGACAATGCTGCATTTACATCCTCCTGGAGATTGTGCGATCTGCACAATGATCCTCTGCCACAGGAACGAGACCATGCTCAATGAGCTGAAGGTAAGATACGGATTGTAGAGAGAGAGAACTTTTCCGTCATTAACACACGAGAATAGCAAACCAACTGTCTGTTTATATTACTCCTAACATCAGATGGATCTCACGCCCACTAAGACTTGCAACTCCTCTAGATATTATTCCGTAAATCAAAAATATGATTTATCCAATACAGCCCCATAAAGCCCATTGATGTGGAGTGTTTTCCTACCACAGCCAGGGGGGACGATTGAATTCTTCTACAGCACTATTGTGAAAAGCATCCATCAACTGGGCATAGATTATTTTTATAGGGTTATTTAAAAACAAATAATAATTGCATTTACGACATTGGCTTGGAATAATAATATGGTAATAACAATACAATGTGTCTGTATAGCACTTATTAAAACCATCATTACAAAGTGTTTTACAGCGACTACATAAAACCCAACAATAAAATGCAAAATACTGTCGTAAAATACTAAAAGAAACAGGGAAAGGAAGAACAAACGAAAAACCAACGGATGATAACACAAACAGCGTTACTAAATAATTCAGAATAAAACATAAACCTAAAAATTATAAGAAAGTGTTTCAATAAAAATAGGTATTTGAAAGAAAATATGTCTATTAATATGAAGCAAGTTTAACCAATGAACTGATGTGTTAATTTCCATGCGTCTGTCAAAGGGTGTGTGCCAGAAAACAGAGCATGTGTTGAGGCTCACCCTCAGAGAACCATCTGCTTTACTTGGGGGTGGGTGTACAGAGACCCACTTAGCTGCTTACATCAGACACAAGGTAAGAACCAAACTTGTATTTAATCTAATTACAAATTGTCACTGTGTTCTGATTCAAACATGTCTTAATAATCACATATTTTAATCTCAGAGCATGAATGAAATCCAAGAGACAGTATCTGCGCTAGGCTGCTCACAGACGGAGTGTCTCCTCGGCGTGGAGGGATTCTGTCGCTCTCTGGAGGCTGTTGCCGCGGCGCTGGAGCACGATGGTGGGAGTTCTTTAATGGATCTCACTCATGCCCACCACTGGTCTCATCCTGCAGATGTCCTGACAGAACACATGGGGGATAGCTTGGGCTCCTGTGGCTGTGGAATTGTGGAAAGTAGCCCGAATCAGAAGTGGACTTATTTAAACTCTAAATACCCACAGTTCTCACCTGCACCTCTGTCTGAAGACGCTTCTGTGCAGCCACATGTGCTTGACTCCTTCACGGCTAAACTCAATGCATTGCAAGTTGCTGTAGAAACTGCTAATCTTGCACTGGATGTGCGATATCTAATTCAGGATGTGAACTAGCAGAACAAGTATATTATCCATTGTGCAACTCTGGTTTCTGATGATCATGATGAGGAATGAATGGTGTTTTATATTTAAATATATATTTAAATATATATACATTGTGACACTAGATGTAAGCATTGCCTTGAGTGAAAATATGATTGAAACCAGGCATCAGTTAGTGGAAATGTGTTGCATCATCTGTGGACTTGTTACTTGTCAGCAATATCAATAAAAAAAACACTGATTTCTTCTATTAATGTGAAACGAAAACCGTAATGATTCTGGATTTCCGTAAGAACGCAGCCCCACACGTCCCCATCACCCCATGTGACTCTTCAGTCGGTCTTATTGTTGTATCAGCTGAAGAAGTACAAACTGCCAAAGTAATTGATGGTGAACTCCAACACTGCCATCAAGTCCATTCTCATCTATTTCATTCTAGTTTGTCAGTGTTATTGTATTTCCTTTTTTGTTTATTTATATTTCCCGTTTACATTTTTTCTCCTTTTTAAAAATGTTTTTTAAATGGTTCTATATTTGCTCCTATCTTAAAAATGTCTTCCTCTTACTGTTTATTTATGGACCATTATACCAAAGCAAATTACTTGTATTTGAAAAATACTTGGCAATAAAACTGATGCTGGTTAGTTTAAGTTGACACATACATTTGCCTTATTTCTATACATAGCATATGATGTGCAATACTATCTGGTATTTTTTTTATTTTTTTTAAATGGAGGTACAAAGTGTTCATTTTACTATTCCCTCAACCATCTGGCTCTCTCTGGTGGTGACTTTTCTAACTGTCTCCACACTAAATGGACACACGAAACATAGTGAATATCTACATGAGAAGTAGTATATGTAGCACAGCACTGTAAATATACTATGATCCAACGTTAAAAACTGCAGTTTACACACTAACTAACCCTCAACACTTTATCTGCTGTCGAGCTAACAATAGAAGACTGAAGAGGCTACTAATCCATTGCGAATTCGGATATATAATAAAAAATGAAATGCATGGAAAGGCTAGTACTGTAAATACTTGAAGAACAAGACACCAGAGCAGACATGCTTTTCAGTATATTTTACTTGTTTTGTAACATGAATCCAAGGCCTTATCTGAAGAGCCTTTTGGGATGCTTTTTCAGTGGAACCTGAGATCAAAAAACTCCATGTAGGGAGTACTTAAGTAGTATATTTTAGGTTGGTGACGTGTAAGATCCCATTCTCTAAGCAAGAAAAACCATTATACACAAAACCATTCCTAAAAGACAAACAAATATCCATAAACAGAAAATAAACAGTGTTGAGGCTCAGCCTTTTGTCTCTACGGGAATGAGGCGAGTTGGAGAACAGAAACACCACTCCCTGCTGGAGAATAAAGATAACAGCTGGTGCCATTTTAGACCAACAGATGAGGGGGGGGGGGGGC